TGCTCCATCAGGGACTCTCTGTTGTGTTCCCTGTCAGGGTGGTCATTGATGGTAGCTGGGCATCATCTAGTTCTTCTGGTCTTGGGCTGATGAAGTCTCTCGCTTATGTGGCCTTTTCTGTCTCTTGGGCTAATACTTTCCTTGTGTCTTTGGTGTTCTTCAGTCTCCTTTACTCCAGGTGGCTGGGACCAATTAATGCATCTTACGTGGCTGCTTGCTAGCTTTTAAGGCCCCAGATGCCACTCATCAAAGTAGGATGTAGGACATTTTCTTAATAAGCTGTTATGCCACTTGACCTAGACGTCCCCTGAAAGCATGGTCCCCAGACCCCTACCCCTGCTACTCTGTCCCTCAAAGTGTTTGACTGTATTCAGGAAACTTCTTAGGTTTGGTTTAGTCCAGCTGGGCTGACTTCCCTTGTAGTGTATGCTGTCCTTCCCTTAACCTATGGTAATTCTTATCTACTATCTAGTTAGTAAATAACCCTCACCCTCCCTCTCCACCCTCGTAACCATCAAAGAATGTCTTCTTCTGTGTTTAAACCTTTTCTTGAGTTCTTATAATAGTGGTCTTATACAATATTTGGCCTTCTGTGACTGACTAAATTCACTCAGCATAATGACCTCCAGTTTCCTCCATGTTACATTTCACAGATTCACCATTGTTCTTTATCGCTGCATAGTATTCCACTGTGTGGATATACCATAATTTGTTTATCCATTCCTCCACTGATGGGCACCTAGGTTGTTTCCATCTTTTTGCTATAGCGAATAGTGCCACAATGAACATGGGTGCATATATCTATTCGTGTGACAGCTCTTACTTCTCTAGGATATAACATGAACCCATTTTAAACATTGTTTTAACTTTTCATGAAGAATGTCTTATTTCCACAATGAAATTAAAAGGATCAAAGTCAGTGACCATGTTTTGCAGTATAGCATAGTGGTTAGTTCACAGCCTCTGGAGCCAAACTACACGGGTTGACTCTCAGCTCCACATCTTTCTGTGTGACCTTAGGCAAGTTACTTAACCTCTCTACGCTTCAATTTCCTTATTTGTAAAATGGTACCTACATTAGTACCTACCTCAGAGGGTTGTTGTGAGGATTAAATGAGCATGCAGAACTATGCCTGTCACATAATTAAGCACTTTATAAGTGTTAATTACTATTCTCTTTATTAATAAGAAAATCAGTACATATGTGTCTGAATGCTATATAAGTGTTAGCTATTATTGCTTTTTTTTAATCTCCATGTCCATGGTACCTAAAACAGTAAGTACATAGCATGTACTCAGTAGTGATTTGATGGAGGAAGAAAGGGGAGAGGAAAGGTCTTAGTATGAGAAGAAACTTTGCAGGAAAGTGTCTATTTTTTACATTCTAGGAAGTAGCTGGAGAAATCTGTCCAGGAATAGTATAAGATGCCTACTTTGGGGTCTATGAAGGTACTCGATTTCAGGAGGAATCAACAGGACAGTGACAAAGAAAGGTACTCCATAGGAAGCAGAGTTAGATGTTCATAGCTCCTCGAGTTTTGCAGCTGAGACGGGCATAAGATAACAGCAAAACTTCGTGGTGAATTTAGGATAAATAGGTACTTACTGAGCATGCCTCTGTAATTGAGGTCCATGTCCCGGCTCTCTGACCGTACTTTAATAGCATCCAGAATGGCATCAGGAGACAGCAGTCCCGAAGGCCTCACAACATTCAGGAGTTCAGTGAGGCTCATCAGAGGTAAGCGCACAGCCTGCATGATTTCAGCATGATTCTCCTTCGAGTTGTGCTTACACCAGTTTAACAAGGCTAGAAAAATATCTTTTTCAGGAGCTGCAAATGAATCTCTTAATACGATGTTTAAAAGTGCTGTCTGAAAAGGAAAAAAAGGAAAAATTCCAGTTATTATGGAGCTCAACCATGTGTGTGATCAATCAGTAAGCCTTACAGAAGTGTGCATATCACTTATATTTAGACAACTAACTCTTTTTGACTCTCTTCTTTCCTTACTCTTTGTGCCATATTCCCTCCTGCCTGTTATGGCTTAGTGAATAACAAGAAAACATGGTAGCACCTTTCTTTCTTCCCCAGGCATCCTGTACCATTACATCAAACATCTAGTCTTTCCAAATACATTTGCACCTATCTTTAATAACACAGTCAGAAGACAAATGGCAAAGTGAGGTGCTGTCAATACACATGGGTACTATCCAAACCAAACCCACTACTATCGAGTCAATTCTGACTCATAGTGACCCCACAGGACAGAGTAAACTGCCCCCTCCCCAAAGGGTTTCCAAGGCTATAAATCTTTACGGAAGCAGACTGCCACATCTTTCTTCCACAGAGCAGCTGGTGGGTTTGAACCGCCAACTTTTTAGTAGCAGCCAAGTGCTTAACCACTGCGCCACCAAGGCTCCTATAGGTACTACAGGAGGGTTTAAATTTGTAAGTCACTAAGATATATCCAGCATTTAAAATCCAAAACCCTTTGTTCTACTGTACTACTGCACTACCATATTTTGGCTTCTCAGATCTCCAGCCTGCCCTCAAGCAACACCTCAAAGACCTTAGCCCTTAAAAATTAAGCAGGATTATAAAAATCATACTTCACATTCAAACCAAGATATGTAGCTATTCAATATATTTTCTCATTGGAAATATCCACCTCCTAGGAAGAACACAGAACAGGAAAAGCAGAGAGAACCACCAGCTAGGATTCAGAGAAAGACTTGAGCAAGAGTCTCACTCTAACTATTGCACAGTTTGAGACACTGTGTAATAGTGACTTGTGAGCCAGTAAAAAACGCAGATGACTCAAGACATCCAATGACACATCAGATCTCCTTTATAAATTTGCCTTCTTGCTATAAGGAATTATTAGTTGCGCTCTCTGTCAGAGAAATACAAAACCAAAAAGCAGTATGCAATAGCACAAAGGACCTTATTTCACCGTCATCACATTGAAAACCACCACCCAGCAGCATAGTCCCTTTTGCATGTAAAACTTACCAGAAGAACCTTTAAAGAAACTAGAACTGATCTGCCTCTCTCTCATATGATCTAGAGTCCCAGTAGCCAGAGGCAGGGGACTAGACCAGCTAACCTCTTCCACACCAATGATATTTCTTTTTTTTATTCTTAGTCCATTGCTATATTGCTACTGTACAGGTATAAATGCAACAATATATGACTTATAGGCAATGGCACACCTTAGAAAGGGAGAGGAAACCTTCACTTGAGAGCACCTCCTGAGCATTTCTGTCCATAAACATGCAGCACATACAAGTTAACTTGGGAAGCGAGTAGAGACTGGCAACATCAAAAGTCATGCAGACATTCTGAATGTTAAGTATGGTGCAGAGATATTCAGAGGTAGAATCCTCCAGCTCTGGAAATCCGTATTTATGAGCCAGGCTCAAAAAGTCCAGCAGCACCTCCTCCTTCTCATCTGTCAGTGTCGCTCGCCCAGTGTAGATGTATTTAAGCAGCATTGTGAATGCTTCTGCAGTGGTGTCCTGGAGAGGGATTTCTGCTTCAGGCTGAGACTCTCTCATGCCACCATACAGTAGTGCTCTGTACATCAGAGAACAAAAGGAGGAAATAAACAGAATGAAAAGAGGAAAAACTCAAATAGGATTTGCTACAAAATACAGGAAATATCAGGTATCACAATTATACAAACAAATTTAAAGACACAAAGATCCTGGTGAAAAAAAATACAAAGTAATCATTTTAAATGGTTCTCTAAAAAAAGCAAGAGAAACAACTTAACAACTATTTTGAATTAATTCTATAAACAATTGGACTAATAAGATATCCTGAGAGCTCAAGACATATAACAGACATTAAATAGAAAGATGAAAGAAATCGTTTGAGAGGAACAGGTGAAATTAATGTAAAAATATTAAAGGTCAATAAGGCAGTTTAAAAATTAAAACTACAGAAAAAGATGTAATCAGATACACAAAATTAAACACCAACCAGATGCCATTCTTTTCTGTCAGGTTGGCAGAAATTTCAAAAGCCCTTTGATATCCATTACTGCAAAGGCAACGGGAAAACAGTTACTGTCATGCACTGCTTTGAGAGTATAAAGGGGTGCCCCATCTCGGAAAGCAATTTATCAACACCTATTCAAATGGTGGCATAGTGGTTAAGAGCTTGGCTGCTAACCAAAGGGTCGAATCCACCAGGTGCTCCCTGGAAACTCCATAGGGCAGTTCTACTCTGTCCTATAGAGTCGCTATGAGTCGGAATCGACTCAATGGCAACAGGTTTATTCAAATTTAAAATATACATACTCTTCAACTCAACAATCCTACTTTTAGAACTTAATTCTAGAGAACTAGTTCGGCAAGGGATAGATAAATGTATGAGAATATATACTGAAACCCTGGAAACACTGGAAAAAATCTAAACATCTATCAGTAGGACCAGGGTTGAAAAAACTGTGATATACACATTCTATGCAGCCATTAGAAAGATCAAGGGAGATCAATATGCACTATCTTGGAAAGATGTCCAGGATATAATAAGTAAATAAGTCAAGCTGCAGACCCATATGTTCTGCATGGAAAAAAAAAAAGTGTATAACTACATATTTATATGTGCACACATATAGGTATATACAGACGAATCTGTTTAAATTTAGAAAAATCAAAGAAAAGTCATATTTGACTATAAACAGTGGTTGCTTCTGACGAATAGGATTAGATGGCTGGGAGGGAAGGACTTTGTTACTCTATAAATTAAAAAGGGAATTGGTGATGGGATTATGAATTAATTTTGACTTTTTTTTTTGCTTTCAGTATTTTTCAGATTACAAAAAAAGTTGCACATTACTGCTCATCTGAAAAATGGAAACTAGACAATCAAGGCAGGTAATGAATTTAAATTTCTACCTCTATTACTCTACGAGGAATAAGATGAACCAATTAAACCTCTAATCAGAGGGCAGAGGACAGGAGAGGGGTACAGAAAAGGGAGGGAAGAATAGAGCACAAGAAATAAAACAGGCAAAAGCAGGAACAAGAGAGTAAGAAACAGAGTCCTTCTGCTCCTAAATTCTCAGAGCAGGACTAGAATTTCAGGGGTTCCCTCCAGACCTGCCTGGAACTTCTCCCACCCTCCCCCAGGACCTGGCATTCTTGCTTGCCGGAAGAAAATAACTAAAACTACTTAGCACAAGATTCACAAATATTCCCAGCATACTGCTTCACTGGGTTATGCAGAGCCTAAAAACATTCTTGAAGATTTTCATTTATCCAGAGAGCATCCAACTATAACCTTAAAATTACTAAATTAAAGAACTCCTTCCTGGGGCAACCTCAACAAGACTTACTCCCACTCAAGTGGGCATTAATCTAGATTCTCAGTGCTTTAAAAAGTGGTTATGAAGTGGCTCCCTTGGGACACTAAATACAAACCCCCAATTTTGACAAGCAGACAAGGACAGAGGCTAACGTTTACTGTGAAAAGTCCTCTCCTGTACAGTTAACTTGTCCTTATCTGGGAATTTGGAGTCCTTGGGCGGTGCAAATGGCTAATCACATGGCTACAAACTGAAAGGTTGACAGTTTGAACCCATCCAGAGGTGCATCAGAAGAAAGACTTGGCAATCTGCTTTCCAAAAGGTCACAGCCATGAAAACTCAATGGAGCGTAGTTCTACTCTGCAACACATGGGGTCTCCATGAGTTGGAATCAACTCAAGGGCAACTGGTTTTATCTGGGAATTGATCTGCTCTTAGGACAGCACCCAGGCCTCTCCACTGCTGACATTTAACTTTCCTTTGCAATGAGAATTGTCAGTGATAAGAATTTGTCTAAAATAACATTGCTAATGACCCAGAGTTTAGCCTAGCAAGACCTCCAAGATTACAAAGATTCAACAGTGTACTATCCATAAAGAGACATCAAGAACAAGGTCAATTAAGGGAGGGGAGCATATCCTATTCACTCAGGATGATCTTCATATTTCTAAATGTATTTGAGCTTCTTTTAAGAATATATCGATTATCTCAAATTATTTTTGAAAGAGAGTAACGTAAAATATTAACAAATATTAAACATGAGGTTGAAAAGTTGTGATTTAATAAAAAGTGGACTCTTAAAAAATACTTCAATACTAATGAGTGGACCAAAGGGAAGGAAACACAAAAGGGAAATTATGCCGAGGACAGAAGTCTGGTATCAAATAACTAGACTAAGGCCAAAGGCCTTGGTAGAGCTGACCACTGGGAGGGAGCATGGGGGAGAAGGTGTTAGCTAGAACTCTTATCAAACTCTTTTCTAAGCTCCTGGTTTCCCCTGCAGTGATTTTTTTTGGTAAAAAAATGAGACATTCTGATAAAAGTTCTAACTAAAGAGTAGATATTTCCAAAAGACACACTTGACCACAATGTGTGTGACTCCAAGTGTTGCTGTCTTGTTGTCTTGATTAATTCTGATTATAAAAACCAGACTACAGTTTCACTACAAGGTAACTAAAAATTTCTCTATGCTATCGGTATCTCCATTTTTAGCTATCAAGTTTGCCTGGGCAAATCAGTAATTCTATGGCCCATCTTTATCCTTGTAAATATAAAATACATAGTCCATGATCAAGGTTAAATTATCACTCAGTCAATAATTTAGTGATAATTCCTTTAACTAATATTAAATGTAATTAAAATGTAGAGTAATTAGAGATCCATTTTTATACTCATAACTCTGGAAATTAAGGGTTTGAGTCCCAAACTATGCTGTTGTTAGCTGCCATAGAGTTGATTCCAGCTTATGGTGACAAACTACAGCTGCATATAAATACATGTAGGATTTTAATATTAATTAAATACATATTTCTTTAGTCTAAGCTGTAATATAACTATGAAACTTAGTCTCAGTCAATACTAAGTTTCTTTAATTTGGCATCACCAAATTTCATGTCTTAGATCTTTTGGGTTATCTACAGGTCCTGGACTTCAGTAGTCTGAAACCAAGAGGGACATACGTTCATTACTAAGTCCAGAGGTCAGTCTACCTATTCAAGAAGAATGCTATCTGCCCAGTAAATCAGTTCAACTCCCATTAGTTATTATCTGTGAGGAGAAAGTAAGGCCAACAAAAATTCAGCCAGAGAAATATT